CATAGAAATATTGTTTTGTAAATCATTATACAAGCGATGCTTAAGAAGTTTTATATTTCATATTATGCAATAATATATGGAATTAGTATTTTTATAAACATTCTTTCAATTTAAAGTTTATAATGGGGATAGGTATTATGATTGTAATTGGGGCACAGTTATTTCTTAGATTTGTTTTCTTTAGTGTATTTGAGCTTATTTTCAATCACAATGGTTTAATCATCGGACATTAAAAGATTTATACAAATTAAACCGCGGGAAAATATCACGTCGCCTCACTTCCCTCGTAACACAATAACATTGGAATGAGTAACAAAAGAAACAATGGCTTGTTAGCATTCAAACGGTAATTATGTTAAGTTACGTTATCTCTGGGTCAAGGCTGCGGAAAATAATAATAATCAATGAAATTGGGTGATCAAGCGGTTTTGACTTCATTGTTGAAGTTGTTTTACGTGGTCTTCAGTATTGTTATTTTATTAAATATTTATCTGCTTTAGGTTTGCAGATATTTATTTAGTGTCCTTGTTAGTTACTCTCAAGTGCTTCAACATAAACTTAAGAATTTATTATATAAGGCCGATTACCTATGACACTTTCAGTTTTTTTTCAAAACGTTAAATGATTGAGGTATCTTACAAATTGTATATTAAGGACAAGACATCGGGTGTGTTACGGTGGCGTATTTGAACCGACATTCTATCTAGCCAATGAAGGACATTTGCTACTTAAAACTCAACGTTCCAATCTAACCGTTACGATGCGATTTCGCAATTGCTCTGTATACCCTTTGCGGTGTCTCGATATCGGTGTCATAAGATCTTGCCCCATTGGCTGGCCATCTGATTGTGCGCACGTTCGGACCACTTATTCAGTTTGAAACTAAAGACTGTCGTAAATACCAATCCCCGTCGTTTTTGGTTCGGGGTTAGTTAAATCGATCATGTTTCTGCTTCCAATTTCAACACTTTTCAGTTATTACCCAAATAAAATGGTTGATGTTAAAATATTTTGAACATTTCTGCTCTTTTTTGATTTTTTTCATTTGTTGTCAAATTTTGTTGCAATATAAATTTCAATGCACTTTCACTGAATCTTGTGCAATAGACTTAGATTATGATTATTATTGATTGTCTAATTGATTTATGCGATATCTTCATTAACTTTGCAAATGAAGGTCTTAGACACCGTCAGTTATTTGTAAAATGATGTCTCTGATTGAACTTTGCATATAGATGAAAATTAATCTTTATCTTTCTAATTGGCATCTTTGAGTGCTGCTATAATTTACCTGAATTTAACTTCCATTTACTAATACATGTTAACATAAATTGAGCATCTTGGCAGTGTTAAGATTTTTTCTGGTCTTATGGCTAATATTACACATATTGGTAAAATAAAATTATTTTACGCAATTTATCGCGTTTTATTTTGTATCTGTATACTCAACGTTTTGAAAATATGACAGCGCGCAGACTAATTTGTTTTACCATAACACTGCTATTAAGATAGCAATTGTCAATTTTTTTGATTATTTAGTTTAGTCTGAACCACGCAAAAGGGACATATAGATTTTTTGATAGTTGGCTTAGAGAGTTCCTGAAGTAGTTTTTTTGAACACTAAAATATGTAGAAAAAAGTGCGAAAAGATTGTCGCCGCTGTGGGAATCGAACCCACGTCTTCGGCATTCGCGGCCTGACGCTCTAGCCACTGAGCTAAACGGCTGATTACCACACCGACGAAAATCTTAACGCATTCTTCTACATTGTTTTCTTAGCATTTGAAGCAATGCTTGGCGCCATCTATTGTTATATCCTTTCCAGCATACAAACAATTTCGAATATCGTTTTACAACGATAATTCGAACGAGAGATGTCGCCATTGCTTTTTAAGAAATTTAAATTTTTTATAGTGCTAATCTTTGCACTTAAGATTGAACATTAAAATATGTAGAAAAACTACATTCCTTTTTTCTACATATTTTAATGTTCAATCTTAAGTGCAAAGATTAGCACTATAAACAATTTAAATTTCTAGTTTTTTTGATCTCAAAATATTTTTTGTTATAACGCATTTATTCGTGTACTTTCTCTCCTTTTTTAAATCAATTCCATTATTGATACCGCGCCGTTGCAATTTGAGACGTGAGCAGACTTATTTTCTTAACTTCGAGCACTGTTGCAAGCCTAAAGAAAAACAACTTGGAAGGGGAAACATCTTTTATTACTCAGTTACTTTGATGAAACCAGTTTACGGATTTTCGCGCGTTTTAATTTTGGATTTAGTTCGAGTCAAATATTGTATTACCAAGGACTGAAGGCCGGAAAGCCTAGCAGCGCCTGTTTATTATTATTTATATTTGTCATCTCTCTCTATGAAGTCGAAAACTTTCGCAGCGTAGGAAACAAACTAAGATGCTATATTTTTCGTTTACTAACCATTACATATTAAATTAGCGTTCTGCAGTCTCACTGGACGAAGGGTCATATAGCCGATTGATATGCTATCTGTGTGATATGTTATATATAATATCATGAAATATATGGTGCTTGTTCTTTTGATGAAAACCATTCACGATAAGTAATATTCTTCTTGTTTTTAACCGACTTCAAAAAAGGAGAAGGTTCCATGTTGGGCTGTATGTATTTTTTATGTATGTTGTTCCTCAGGCGTGATATTTATAATATTTTTTTATGTGAAAACGTGGCATACGAGCAGGCGTTTCACCTGATGTTAAGTGATAACCGCCGCTCATTGACATTTGCAACACCCGTAGTTGCAGTAGGTAGCAGATGCATTGTCCTGTACTAAAGTCGGCCCCGGCTACGTCACTCACACACGCAGAAGTGTTACATTCCTGCGTTTTGTCTGTATATAATACCTATAAGACTATTGCGTGGCCGTATTATGGAGCTTTTAAGTTAGATCCTTTGACATTCGCATTTTTGTTTTTTATTTACGTGATATTAAGAATAGATCGACTTCTTGTCAAGTTATTTTACTTCTTCCACTACTACTGTTAATGCCTCCAGGTTAGATTTTCATTTTTCACGTTCCAATTTGGGTTTAGTCATTTCCACCTGCTTTTAGTTTCTTAGTAGATCTTGATCAATTATGTAGGAAAACTAGAGCCCTAGCCAAAAATACTAAATTAGTAGACCAATTCTTCGAGAGTCAGGTTACCCGTAGTATGATCCTGCTGAATCGTTTTATCGTTTACATAATTATTTGCAAAATGATAATGACATTTCGGTGTTAAAGCCTTCCTTCGAAGAAACGATAAAAATTCCATATACACGATAACACGCATATATCAAAAAGTGGACTCATGCTTTTATGTGATAAATATCATAAAATACATGAGTCGCTAGTTTGGTGAAATCACTATGAGGATTTACTTCAAGGAATACAAAGCCAAAGAGGTGAGTTATTTACTTTATTGATTGATTAAACAACAATTTTAAGTAACTTTGGCGGTAATTAACTAAAAGCTTAATAAAAAAAAAACTTGTGTTGAAATTAAAAATAATAAACAACACAGAAGACATTTAAAACTTATCAAACTAATTTTTCTGTTATTCTTTTTAATACATTATTGCTGGCACAGACATTTCTGCTAATTGGTTGTTATAGTTTCAAAACAGAAAAAGAAATACCTGAGAAAGATAAAGGTTTAAGTTTATTAATTGAATGCTTTATATATGTAGCTATTATATTTTTTACGTTTAAAATTTAATTTTATATCTTACCTCAGAACGTCATTCGTTATCGCTGATCATAAGTCACTTAAAATTTAAATTTAAAGCGTCATTGGTGCCGTCACTGGGATATTAACTTAGATTGTTCGAGTACATTGGATTAAAAGCGGGCGCCCAGACACTGAGCTATCACGACTATCTCGATTCCAAATCGGATCCAAAATGTTTTGTTCATTGGTAATAGCTGTTTCTTTGCCTGTGTGTCATTTATGTCTCATTCGTAAATTCTCAATGAGAAGGTGTTAGATAGATGATGATCGAGGGTGCATGCTAACCGTAGACCAGGCCAGCAAGCATACAACATACAGCAGGAATGGTGGTTATAATATTAATTAATACATTTCTGACCGATTTGCGTAAAAAGTATAAATTGCATCTTATCGTGCAGTAGATCGTTTGTTTAGATTTTACTAATTACAGGGCTTAAACCTTCACCTATTGTTGTCTCATGTACGATGATAACCCTCTTTATATAAGACGGTGCCAAGCAAGTGTAACTGGTGTTAAGAGATAACCGGCGTCCATGGAAATAGAAGAATAATTAATTAGCAGAAGAATAAGAATTCTCCCATTTTCCTCCGCCGGTATTCTTTGGGGACCTCTGAGACACGGAGACAGTTGCTGCGTGGTCCCATCAGGTCGAAAATACGCTCGGAGTTCCTTAGTGTTTCAAGACTCAAGTGCTTGCTTCTTCTTCTTCTCTCGGTGCCACTTCAATGAATCAAGGTTGGCAATCAACTTTCCGTACTCGTCTCTATCCTTGGTGAGGCGAAAAAGTTCAGCGGCACTCGCAATGCCTGTCCACTCCCCTGATGTTTCGTAGGCAAGTTTTCTTCCTGCGACCAGCTCGTCCCTTTCCCGTAACTTTTCACATCATTATTATTTGAAGGAGGCAATATCTGTCATGTCTAAGTACATGGACCGGATATGCTACTTTTTTATGTAAAAAGTTGCCTAGCGAGCAGGTGGTTCAGCTAATGTTAAGTGAATACCGCCGCCCATGGACATCTGCTACACCCGAGGGTTGCAGACGCGTTGACAACCTTTTGAAAATTGGGCTTCGGCTACCTTACTCACCAGACGAAACGCGAAAGTATCATACACCTACCTTATGCCGGTCTTCTGTGAGGCCGTGGTACTTAACCGGACGAGCCTGCCCATTCGTGCAACAGCCGAGGCTGCTGCGTGGCCTACCACAGTTAAACTTTCCTTTTTATATCCGTTGATGCATTTTTCTGCAGCGAACGAAGGGTCCGGAATGCACGCCGCCCTGTCGCCGAGCCCAGCCCACTCCGCGTGCGCCGATGACGCCGAAACGCTCTGGTGCGTTGGCGCCAGCCGCCAGCGACGCAGACGGTGAGTCGCTTTGTTTTTTTTTTAATGGCACCACAACTGTGTAGGAAGCGTGTGTATTTTATACTTCTTATACCGTTATAGAAGTGAATCCTATATCCTTCAAGAATAGTACCTTCAAAATGAGTGCAAAATTGATTAATTTTCGTAATTTATTTATGCTCTAATGAAAATGAAAATTACAATGTAAGTAAAGTAAAGTAACAGCCTATACATGTCCCACTGCTGGGCAAAGGCCTCCTCTCCACATATAGAGGGTATCAGGGCATAGTCCACCACGCGGCCCCACTGCGGATTGGCGGACTTCACATATCTTTGAAATATATATATTTTTTTGTTATTATTTCGAAAATATGCTGGTTTCCTCACGATGTTTTCCTTCACCGCGGAGCACGTGATAAATCAGTACTTAAAGTTAAAAACTTTATTGGTGCCGGCACCGGGGATCAAACTCAGGTTGCTCGAGTATATTGGATTAAAGGCGAGCGCCCGGACACTTAGCTATCACGGCTCAAAATTATAATGAATAATAACTAAAGTATAGAGAACTGGCTTAAACAAATAGAGCGATCAAAATGAATTGTATTGAAATTGAAAATATGTATAAGTCAAGTAACAAACAAATTAAAAAAAAATAGTTTTAATTAACACTAGTCTTTTAGCACTTACACGGTTGAGGGCCACGCAGCAGCCTCGGCTGTTGCACGAATGAGCAGGCTCGTCCGGCTAAATACCACGACCTCACAGAAGACCGGCGTAAAGTGGAAGTGTAATACTTTCGTCTGGTGAGTGAGGTGGCCGCAGCTCAATTTTCAAAAGGTTGTCAACGCATCGGGAACCCTCGGATGTAGCAGATGTCCATGGGCCCCGGTATTTACTTAACATCAGTTGAACCGTCTGTCAACTTTTCACATAAAAAAAAAAACTTGATTAACTGTTTAGTAAGCCACAATGAATAATATCGTTAATAATTTATAACGTTTATCGTGTCTAACGACTTTGATCAAAATGCGGTATCACAGTCCTTAAATTATTACAATCATCAATCTTAGTGTGCGTCCGGATTTTAATGGAAATTGAACTGTAAAATTCCATTGCAATCATTCATTTATACTTAAGTACACAGTTACATCGATACCTTCCATTAGACCTAGATTATTCTTAGTATAAAGTATTACTCTTAATGTATTTAATAGGTATAATTAAACTGTTACTTGAAATATAAATATTCTCAACCCATTAGTTGCGAAATAGTTTAATTCCTTTTTCCAACGCGCTATTTTCTTTCCGTTAACTCTTTAGGAGAAACGTAATCTTTCAGGTGAAAATAAATGCCCCAGTTTATTAAGCAGTTAATGTCTTTAAGCTCGGTTCGATTTATTTTATGTTTTAAACGATATATACGTGGGTCTATATTCTATCCTCCTACCTAATCTATTATTAAGGCATTGAAAGTCGTAATAAATGTTTCCACCTTTTAGATACCTAGACTATAGTGAGCGAGCGAGTTGTAACTTCGTGTAGGCAGTGTGAATTATTTAAGCACAGGCATGTTAGAGGTTGTGTCGCGCTAAAATATTATCGAGGTGGCCTCTCGTAAGCTCTTGCGGTATATGGGACAAGGTTGCTTTTGTGTCTGCGGCTCCCAACATTTTCCTTCGTAACTTCGTCTAGCCAAAATTTTAAGACAAGCGCCTTGCGGAAGCCTATATGAGTTTTAGAAATATATTTATACGTATTAGCTATGGTATTTCATAATATTCGTTCAGTTAAATTAACCTCCTTGGTTATGCTTGTTTTGAATCAACGCGACGGAACTTTTCTTACAACAATCTCGAAGTAGTTAACCTCAAAAATTATATATTTTTTTAGTAAATTCTTGCAATTCTTAAAAATATACTGATAATGAAATATGCTTAATTTCTCACTTTAGTAACATATTTTTATGTTAAAATTTGTAAAAAAAGTACCAAAAGATTGTCGATGCTGTGGTCATCGAACCCACTTTGGCATTCGCGGCATGACGCTTTAGCCACTAAGCTAAACGGTTGATTGCCACACCCACGAAAATCTTAACGTCTTTTATCTAGATTGTTCTTATAGCATTTAAAGCAATGCTTGGCGCATCCATTGTTATATCCTTTCCAGCACACAAACAATTTCGAATATCGTTTTACAACGATAATTCGAACGAGAGATGTCGTCACTTCTTTAAGAAATTAAAATTTTTAATAGTACTCATCTCTGCATTTAAGATTTAACATTAAAATTTGTAGAAAAAGAACGAAAGGATTGTCGCCGCTGTAGGAATCTATTACTTGAATTTCCTATCAAGTTTTATGCTTGTCAATTAAAAGAGACATGATAGGATACTGCAGAATGATTGAGGTTAACACGGCGAGAGAAATTGCAACAGTCTTAGCAAATGGACCATGACGCAGCGCTCCAAGGCGTCCTTTTCTAATATCGACGCCATTTTTAATCATAACTTACAGGATGTCCAAGCGTTTGGTTTTTGTTTACTTATAAAGATTATATAAGCGAATAGATAATAACAATCACTCACAACTCTGAAAATACATTTATTATGAATTCTGCGAAGTATTCGAAACTTATAAAATTTTGATTAAAATCGAATGCATTGCAATCCGGAAAATTATTTCGTTTCATTTTCAATTTTCGCTTAAATAAATGTAGGTAATTATCAATAGGGCAAAATTCAATTGATTGATTGTTCCTCGTTAAAAGATTGATTGTTCAGTAAAGTATTTGCTTTAATATTATTAATGAATCGTTAAAATTCCACCAGTGCCAGCTGCCGGCCAAGCGAAGGATCCTACAGACTGTTTCCTAGTGTGGAGTATCTTCATCATCATTTCAGCCTGTTTAAGTCCACTGCTGTGCATAGGCCTCCTCCATAGACTGCCACAAAGTACGATCGTGAGGCACCTGCATCAATCGACTTCCCACACATTTGCACAGGTCGTTACTCCATCTAGTTATCAGCGGTTATCGGTTCTATGAGTTATATAGCTGGCCCATCGCCACTTCAGCTTGCTAATCTTCTGAGCTATGTCGGTTACCTTTTTTCTATTGCAGATGTCTTCGTTGCGAACTCTATCACGCAGAGAAATACTGAGGCAATAAATAATAATAATATCTAGGCAGTTTATACCCGCAAAAACCTACCTGTTTAAAACTTCAAAAAAATAAAGGTAAAAATCCTTTTTGAGCTTATCTCGGAGAAGCCTTCCGACAATTTTTAAAGATATGCGGATTAAAGTACGTTTTTTGCGAGTTCTGATGTGTTGGTGTCTGATACTGAACAGATTTTTTTTATAAATAATAATAAACTGAAAATAAATAAAAAGTGAAGATCATATAGATCATAATAACACATGTAGACAATTTTTTGAAGCAGATAAAGATGCTGGTGTATGTTTACTATTTTTTATCTCATAGAGAATCACGATCGATCTTTGGAAATCGTTTATTTGGGTGCAATCGCGGAAACACATATTTTGTAAAAATAAGGTTAGGTATAGATAATTGTGGTAGTTCTTCTATAAAACATGTATTTAATAGCCGTTAACAAGAATATGTAATACATTCTTATACTCACCCTTACCCCAATCACAAAGTCATTCACCGTTAAAATTGGTGAATATATTAAATTGTTTTTCACAAAATCACAGTATACGAACCTTTGTTTATCTTCGGCGCTTGCCAAGGGATCATTAAAATACGACGAAAATATATTTTCTGCGTAGGTATACCCAAATCGAAGCGTGGTGTACGCCAAATTGCCTTTTTAATTTATCTACTTTATCAACTTTTTTTGCCTTTTATTACAAATGTTTATATGTTTACTTTACTCCGTCATTAGTTGCTTTATTTTTTAATAAGCGAATGGCGCACTTTTATTAAGCCATGAAAGCGGATTTCTGTACAGATAAATTAGTGCGTTATTAAATCAGAAGGTTGTTAATTAACATTTTCATTTAGTAACTGCTCTCGTTCTATATTTTCTTTTAATTAAAAATATCCTGCTAGGTATTATCGAGGAATGTACTACAGGCTTCCAGCTACAGATCTTTTTAAGGGAATTTCACGATCTTATTTCAACAATACTACTATTATGTACTACATCGTTTCCTGCAATCATATAATATCATTGTTATAACAACATCTAAGTCATAGATTCCATGCTGATTCTGGCCACGAACTTTGTGCAAAACTGTGTTGAGAAATTTTTCTGCATTACTATTATTATTTATTATCGTCAAGTGTAATTGCGTTATCGATTTAACCGCCTGATGGCTAAGTGGCGAGTAGCTGAGCACGGCGAGTTCTCATACCACTCCAATGTAAACGTGCGTGGCTCTAGTGCCATTCTCGCGCCGTCGAGTGCGAGCTCGGAGCGGCGCGGCGCTCGCGTTTCAGCGCGGTCATCAAAGGGCGCCGCCGCCTTTTCATGCCCGTTTCAGAGAGATTAACGCGATAGGAGGTAACGGTGTGGAGTTTTCCTTTTCAGGAGTACTAACGAGGACCCGGCAGTTCGTCTAAAGCCCGTTGTATTAAATGAAAACTGAATTTATCTTAAACAACCAGGTCAGGTCGTAAATGTCGTAAATGTTCTGACTAGATATTGTTTTGAGTCCTGACGGTAGGGATCAAAGATTTGCTCTGGCAAGAGAACGCTTGCCTCTTGCAATAATAATCAGTTCTCTGGGTTCTATGTAGCAAATACAACTTTATTTTATTTTATTTGTTAATCACGATGTTTTGTCAGTTATTCCTAATTAGTCTGCATTTAAAATATCTTCTTATCTCATTCTACACTTTATTCATTCATTCATCCATATTCATTTTGTAGCAAGCATATTTTCTCCTTTTTTTAGTTTCGTTTATAAACAATAAAAACAACGCAAATATTTACATACAAATTCGTAACCGTAACTCATGCCCTTCATAAATTAGGTAAATGTGGCAAAAATGGCCAATTAATCAAATGTGTTTTTTTTTATTACGGAGAGCGCCTTAACAAAACCACGTTGTTTAATTAAGCGGAAAGATGACTGGCAAGTAAGCACGCAGTAATTCACACGCCCGGTGAATTTCCTTCATTATTTGTAAAGACGTTGAAGGTTGCGTCGTTAATTAAATCGATAGGGTAGCACCTTTCATGTTTTTTTTCTTTTTTAAGTAACAAATTGAAAATTAAGCGTGCTTCGCATTCGCATGCTTCGATTTATATGAAAAGAGTTTTCAAGCGAGCAGACAGTTGATTTCAAGTGATTACCACCGCCACTGCATGTTTACGCCGCTTGTGGTGCAGATGCGTTGACAATTTTAAAATAAGTGGGATCCGGCTACCTCACTTACAATCATACTTCCACCCCACGCCGGTCTTCTGTGAGATCGTGGGACTTCCCCGGACGAGCTTGCCCATTCGTGCAACAGCCGAAGCTGCTACGTGTCCCTACCACAGTAAAATAAATGTTTATATCATTGTCGAGTGCAGTCACTAAGCAGTTTTTGAATGAGCTGTTATTTCTGGGTAATGAGCCTAATAGAACACAGAGTACCACCAGCTCATTTTCCACCTTATGTCACGATTAACACTCTTATTAAGAAAAAAAGAGAAAATCTGTAAAAGATGTCAAGTCATTTTGCTTATAACAAACATGCCACCGAAAGCAATTAGGAAACACTTTGACACTCGATTATAGAACAGACAACAGTCCTTCTCCAAGGTATCCATTTGAAGTACTCCCTGTAAAGGCTAGACTTTCAGGTTATTTATTAATATTTGCTGAAAGAAGTGTTATTCTATTATAGCGTATTTTATGTAGTAGTTCAGTATCTGTGTGGGCCGATGCGGAGAAAGGCAACTTGTAATGGCTTCAGGATTGCGGATATCTTGATCGAAATATTCAGCGAATTCACGTTCCAACAATGTCCGTGCCAATAACTAGTCGTTCCGTATCGTAGTTTGTGCGGTCATCGAACCTGTAGGTACACAGCTGCATAAATAACATAACAAATATAGTGATATCAAGTGTTGGTCACGGGGCTTCAAATAAAGTAACTTAATTTGTGGCGTGTTGTTGAACAAAAATAAAAAAAGAATCCAGTATAACTTATTTGCGTCTGGCTTTAGGATAGACGAGAATAACGTCAAGGCAGAAATATCTTTGGAGCGCTTGTATTTTTTTAAATAAACATTGCTTATTCATTGTGCTATTTAAAGTTCAGCGTGGCGTTCTTATAATTAACGAGGCACGTTGGAAATGCGACTAGATAAGCGTCTTAAAGCATCGCTTGACCCGGAACGCAGCGAGCCAGTGTAAAAACACATAAAGCGCCTTTTAAAATTTATCACCGGTGCTAAATTTAACGCGACCGTTACGAACTAGAATAAATCTTAAATAAGTTTATATAAGACGCGCGAATTTCCGTTGCTAATTACTCATCAGACGAATAAAAAGTGAGTATCGAATATCACTTACATTCATTTGCTAATAAAGTAGCAGTAAACGAAACATTGTTTTACAACAAACAACAATGTTTTAAAAAGGGCAAACCTATAAACATATTGGATGAGGCCTTATGATTCATCATAGGTCGACATCTGTACGGTGCGCTCGTGTTACGATGATTTATAACGTATCGTGACTTACTTTGTAACGAGTGGTATGAATCATTTTTCTGCCATAATACCGTACATGCCATTTTAGTCGCTGCCATAGTGTCATTTCGGTCTATTTTAGCGCGTTGGCATTTGTTGCTGCATGCATGGTTTGCACGTTGTCCTTTGTGTTGCAAGTCACGTCTTTACGCTACAATCGTAGGTTTTCACAATGTCATCGACAATTTACAATACACTCATTTTTATTAAGATGAACAAACCACTTCATTCAATTGTTGTAATTACAAAAATACGCGTATCGGACGTCGGCGCCGCGGTGTGTCCATAAAATTAATTTCAACATTTCACAGTGTCTAACGTTATTTGTCTAACAAGTCGAATGTTTTATTACCTTATGTTTTATTAACCTTTCCTTTCTCATTTTCGTTGATGTCACATTTTATTACAACAATATTTATTACTAGGGATCTTCCCCGTAAAAAATGCCCTTCCATAAAAAAATGCCACCGTATTCGAACGGGTATTTAGTAGCATTTTATAAAGTGAAAAGTTGGCAAGCGAGCTGGTGGTTCACCTTATGTTAATTGATTACCGCCGCACTTGGACAACACCTGACGGGTTGAATATGCATTTCCAGCTTTAAAATAGTGAGTGTCCGAGAGACCCGAAACTTCCACCTTACGCCAGACTTTGTACCATGGTACCCCTCCGGACGAGCCTGCCCATTCGTCCAACAGCGTGTTCGGACCATAGAAATTTAAGCACTGTCCGAATAAAAGGCATTCATTAAAATTTGTACGAAAAGTTTTTCGCCACAGCGACGAATCGAACCCACGTTTTCAGGATTCACTCTTCAACCACTAAGCTAAACGCCGATTGCCACACCGACGAAATTCTCAACGTCTTTTGTTTACATTGATTTTTAGCGTTTGAAGCTATGCTTGGCGCGTCCATTGTTATATCCTTTTCAGCATGCAAACCATTTATCCAAAATCCCGAAGACGTGGATCCGATTCCCACAGCGGCCAAAAACTTGTCGCACCTTTTTCTACAAATTTTAAAGTTTAATCTTAAATGCAGAGACACAATATAAAAAAACAAATTTCTTAAAAACCAGTTGATCCGATCGACAAAACTTCATAGGATCACCTACTAGGTGATCTAAAGATAATCTGAAGATTTAAAAACTTTACCTGAATTAATTCAGCCGTCTAGGAGTGCATAGGAACTATGCAGGAAATAGGGACTATATATAGATATTTTTATATACAAATTCCAAACGCTCTATTTCAAAGAGTTATTTTATTCTGTTATATGGCAACATGAATTGATACTGTCATAGGTCATCGCACGATTTTAGTGGGTTCGATCCACACATTAGGTTAAAATTTGCATTTTGTCTATATTTTTTCCTGCTCTGAGTGGACAGGGGTAAGACTCGTGATATTCATGTTTGAAACTTCTCGACACACACTCGTAAGAGCTATTTGTAGATACATAAGATTTTGTCCCATGTAGGATTTGAAAAACAACGCTGCGTGCAATGGTAGTAGATTACGTGAGCCCTATACCACATACTTATTCGCGCAGTCAATCTGGCTATTAAGTATATTTCTGTATTGATTGCTTAAAAAAATTTCGGATACGATAGGTATGGAATGTTTTAGTAAATAGTTGTAATTTGCTTATCTTACATTATGTATTACATACATATTTCTATTGGGGTTACAACTGATGTGTGACACGATGTTTATTTAAATAAAAGCACTACAAAAATTCCCTTATTTGTAACTAAGTATACATGAGAAATTATGCTTATTGTCTAATAAGGTTTGCATTAAACCTCAATAGAAACTACATCATTTACACTTTTCAACTTCCAAACGTTACAGAAAAACTGCTTTATACTATATTAAGGAGAGTATTAGTAAAAAACAATGTATAATCACATAACAGAGAAAAAGTATAAAAGCATGCACGGTTACTTAAATTTAACGTCTCCAAACAAATCATATGCTTCATTCTTTAGGGAATCTGCAAACATTTTGGCTCTCAATCGTATTGCCATACTCGAACGTGCACCCACGTCGAGTTGGTTGATCAGATTAATTGAAAGATTGCACCGCAAGCGTTGCCGCCGAGCGCACGCAACATTTCGTAAGCAAGCGACAAATGGAGAGTTTTCGCCCCTTTCCCTCCTTGGGAGGCGAGTTTTATTTTCGTTATCATTTACGAGTGCATTGTGCCGTCGGCGTGCGGCCCGCTATGCGCAACGCGCGCCCGCGCCGGCCAGTCCACACGGCGGGTTCGTTGCGCGCGTTTATCTATCTGATCGATGGCCGCTTCACCCGCTGAAATGGCGGGAAGTTTTCTTCGCGTCTCTTTATTGCGCGCGTAACACGCAACACGGGATTATCTGTATCGTATCGATATTGTGTCTGATCGACTGTCGTACTGTCGGTGAAAAAAAGCGGGAAGATTCGTTCGAGTTTGTTTTTTTTTCTTAACACGTGCTGTGTTTGTGGACCGAACGGACAGTTCGAATGTTTCGTTTTCAAGTTATTGTTTTCATTTCGGATATCGAGATGAGAAATAAAATACAGTAGCATTATGAGTAATAATTTTAAGCAAAACATGTTTACTAGTGCTCGGTCGGTCGGTTTCGCAATTACTGATTTATTTGAGGAGCCGGTGTGAACACTACTTTCCCGCGATCAAATCTCCCCGGGCGGGGCTAATTGAACGATTTTTCCGTCAAAATACTTGGATCGCGTCAGCCTCGCATGTGCCAAGCGTCGCATATCTCCGGTGTCAGTTGGTGACATCGACCCGCGCCTACCCACATGCTGCTGTGTACAGTCCGCGCCGTGGAACAAAGGAGGCGCTGCTCTCTGCACGCCGGGCTTATCGTGCATCCGTGTGTATCGTCCCGGGAAGCTTGTCGTTTCGTCTGTCCGTACGCGCGTGCTAACGTGTAGCCGCCGACCTTGCCTAGTGGATATTGGCCGCTGCCGGAGTGGCGGTATCGATTGTTTCGGCAATGGATGCTATCCTGGCTCAAGACGGGCCCATCGTGCTCTCGTGGATCGTGTTTCTGCTCCTGATATGTCGCTGCTACTATCAGATAGGTGAGTGTTCGCATTGTGTATGATTCTTTCTTAGGCTTAACATGTTGTTAGGACAGATATATTTTTTATAGTTTCTCGTGCAGTGTTAATGATATTTATGCAGTTTCCACCTGCTTTACTCGCCAATTGATTCATTTAAAATGGTTTTGAACGTTTTCTGTAATGAAACTGTAAAGATATCTTTCTTCATGTACCGCCCATTTCATTTGTAGAATTGCCTAGTCAAGTCGTTTTCTTATCGATACTTTTATAACACCTACATTAACTTGAGACTTTATTTGAAATGTTATATATTTTTTATAAGGATAAGTCTAATAGGTTGACGATGTGTTGTTATTGAAGGTTGGAGTTATTTTGTCTTTATTTTTTATTTAATGTTACAGTAGCGTCTATGATGGTTGTTTTGTATCTTAAAAATTATTAATAATTTTTTTCTTGTATGAATGATATGTTTTAATAAATTATTATTTACATTATTTTCCTTATGTTATATGCCGAAAGATGTGTTCAAACTCATATGATCATTACTAACATTTTCGTCTAGTAGTATCAACAAATTGCAAAAATCCTTTGCAATATAAACTTAATTATAGTAAAGTAAATGTTTACTTTTTGTTTATATTTGACCATCCTTTAGCTCGTCTAAGGTTTAAGCCTTGACGTGTAGACGACGAGCTCGTCCTATACATTTTCTATGGGATTTAAGACGGGACTATGAGGTTGCCACTCCATTGAGATAACACCGACATTATGAATATACGGATTGACAAAATAAGCACTATGCGCCTGCCATTATCGCGTAAAAATGGAGTTTTCGGCTATATTCACTAAAAAAAGGACATTTGAAATATCCTCTACGCATATGAGGGCAGTTAGCGACCTGTTGTCAATCACCATTAACCACTTACAATTCGAAAGATATTCCAGCTTACACTATAATTGATCCTACAGCGAATGTCACCTTTTCTTGAAAGTACTCTTGGATGCCGTTCTTCTGGTTGGCCATGTACACTTAGTCTCCAATTGTGTGTAAATAAACAAAACTCGGAGTCATCGGAAAATATAACCTTGAGTTGAACCAAACTTCGTCTTTCAATTGGACTTGCTCGATTAAATCGGAACCTTGCAACGTAGATTTTCACTGAGGAGTTTGAGGCCATTTGCTAGTTTTCATACCAGCTTCACGAAGTCGTCATAGAACCATTTATGACCTAACATTGATAATATGGTGTTAATCTTGAAGCTTGTTCCGGACCTGAGCAGTCGTGAGATGTCGTTGTCTTAGACAGTATTCGCGATGAAACCGTCTTCTCGTACATTTGTGCATTGGCTGGCCATTTATTACAACATAGTAACTGCTAGAACAGCTACTGTTCTATCAGGTACTATGCTGACTTCTTCCTTATTTTACCATAGTGATAATCCGTGTAGATTCTTCAGGTGAGAACTACATAATGCTCTACTAATTAGTGTGAACAATCCAAGTAATAATTTGTAATGACTGGTTTAAAAAGAAACGTGATAACAAATTTTCTTGTTCTGATTTTGCATTTTATAATTTTTTTAAATTTTGAATAAAATATATGAATCTTAATAATTTTCTTGACGGAAGTTTCCAGATTTTGTTCATTTTACTTGTGGCTTTTATGCACCAGGTCTTTGTAGTTTAAAGGTAGGCAAAGTCATTATTATTTAAAAGGCTGTTCTCCTATGGAGGAGATTGAATTTATAACTTGAAAATATGGGACGGCTGAACCAGGCGGTTAAAGTTAGTCAAGTGCCCTGTTTTATAATACAAAGGCGATATGCGCTGCGCTTTTACTCCCTAGTTATATACTGCACGTTTAAAATTCCTTCCGTTTTTAACTCGTCGATCAAAAGCTTGGATTTTATTTTCTAAAGAAATTTACATCGGAAACTTTATTACAAAATTTGCAAGATGAGTCTGTCGCCGTGTTCCGACATCAAACAGAGACTGACCATGCATGTCTCGTAATTAAACACTGAATAGTCACCGGTGCAGATTAGGTGTCACTGCTACCTCACGATTTTATCATATTTTAAACTTTAGTCATTAAATGGCCAATAATCTATATATTAATACCTGAAGCAAACATTTTGTACCCCTTTTCACGAAAATAGCGCGGACGGAGCAGTATGAAATCTCCCTCACTTATAGTTTATATAGGCAATAAGTGCAGAATGCTAATATTTTTATTTAAATTATGCATTAAAATACATTAAATCAATAAGAAAGCATTACACACTACCATATATAATTAAATATGTTCGAATTTCGACCACTGGGTGACCACATGATGTGACATGATAATTTCCCATTAATTATTACGCACTGTTCGAAGTGCTAATTGAGCTCAAAAGGAGTAAGTACATTTAGTCGTTCAACTTGTACTTTCTTTCCCGGTTTTTTGTGTTAATAAGGCGTGTTTATTTTATCATACGGAAATCTAGGCCGAAAGATTTCCTGTTTAAATCCCTTTTTCGCTCTTTCCATCAATTCGTGTTAGCGAAAACAGATCCGCGGCCAACGTGGTCATGTTTATTCGAACATGAAAACATTTCACCGGGGAAGAGAGATGCGTGTTTTACAATTTCGATCGCTTTGTTCCCTCGGCGTTTCTTAAACTGTGTTGGTCATTGCTCCGTACATTGTGTGCCGTGCGTTATATTTTCGGACGATTCATCATACGCGAAACCGGATAAAGTTTTTTTTTTTATTACGTACGGAAATTACAATACATCAACCAGTCATTCTCACCGCGTCAATTTCGCTCCCCGTGTTAATTTGAAAGACTTTCAAAAATCAATGTTGCTGGAATAATGATTATAACCACGATTAATATAAACATTAATGAGTCAATTAAACATTTTTATTTATTTCATAGTATTCCTAATTTCGGAGTGAGCGGATGAAGATTGATTTATATTGGCACGCGCCAAATTCATTCATTTTATAAATCTATGTTTGTGTATGAGTAGGGTCAAGTATGTTGGCGTGAAAATTCATTTGTATGATAATAATAGGTGTTACGTGGAAAATGGATTACAACAGATATGTAGAAATGGTAATAAAGAGGGTTATTGTGGGTTCGGTTCCAATTCAACATGTATTACACATACTGATTCAGATCTGTATTTTATCATGTATACGCTTTGAATAAGATAAACATGACCCTCATGCTGTTACACCGAATAATACTGGCCTACACTAAAGGTTACTTCAAAGACGTATAAGTGAAATATATTTGTATTGATCGTAATTCGAGTACCTAGTCTGTGTTTGCGAATTGATTTTGGAGTGCGTTCGCCTTTAGCGCGAACTTACTGCGTTGACAGGCTCGTTAAAAGTGCTAGCCAACGACTTTTATAGATTATCGAAGTCACACTGACTTTAATGTGCTTTTGCATACTTTGCATTTGCGAATAGAGCGGTTAGGTTTTTGTTACTCTCACGGTCAATTAATTCTTTTAACAACAAATGCATGATACATTTTCAGAATATATATCTTTCTCTGTTCTATTAAAGTTAAATATACATTTCATATTTAATTTAAATCTATGTATTTCATACAATACTTGTATCGTACTCGCTATCTGCGATTCCGATCATAAAATCGACTTGCTTATTTGATAGCTGTTAAGTATTTTACAAAGGGTTATTACTCTTCGCTACATGAGTTTTTTGAGATGATGATTTAAAGTATAATTGATTGCCTTAATAAGCGATATCGCAAAATGTTTATTCAGGGTTTTAAACTCAAATATAAGGTTCATTGCATTTTGGCAAGTCTCCACAAAAAGGTACGTTGACCGATGGCTTCGGTTTCATTTTGGAATTTTCAGCTTCCGCCCGCATCTAGCTACAACGTAGATTTAATCATAGATGTAAAAATATTTTAAGAATAGTACTAGTTAATTCGCCCTTCACACGACAAAAGAGGGGCATCAGAGAGGAGTGATTTTTGTAATGGAAGTATTATATAGGACGGAGAAACACTGGTCTTAGGCTTTATTTCAGGTATGCGTTTACATTGAGCTCACTGATCATCCCTATAATGGAAATGCACGCAACGTTAGGAGGCAAAAGTAGGCTATTATTAGGCTAAGAACCTGTTTAACTGAGTTATCACTCTAAGAATCAATATTAACACACGGCATGAAACTTCCTTTTTTCAATTTTTACAAATTACAGGTTACTCTGCGGTTCTCTCATATATTTTTAGTTCAATCTAAGTAATGCAGGATTTTTTTAATAAAATTCAAACAGATTCATTTTGAAGCGTAACGTCTGACTGACTAGACGGGAGGAACGCGAGGGCGCGGACTTGGATCGATACAGACGTCTTGAGTATTTCCAGTTTGTTGTTACATGAGTAATTGATACAATGAAATTTTGTATCAGACACGAGAGGTTCTGAAATGTTTAGTTTATTAGTTTTTGTCTCGTGTGTTATATTAAACGGGTTGCCGACGAGCAAGTAAAGTCTGCGGGGACTGGAGTTGGTAACGAGTGTTGTTATTAATGATACATTCAATGTAATAATGTCACGATTATGGCGACAGCACGACATTAACATGACATTAGGAGGCACCATTGTCAACTATTACCAATTGTCACTTTGACTTAATATAAAGTCAGCTTGACGTTTTTAGCGATCTCTGTTTAACCTACTGCATATAAATCAATGCTTATTAAAAATGCGAAAGCTGTCATCGTCACCATTATTAAAACATTTCAACAACTGTCGCTATAGTCTCTACCGATATCATATTTTGTTCTTCCTTTTCTTCATCAATACATAGTATAAAACAAAGTCGTCCCGCTGTCTGCCTGTCCCTATGTATACTTAGAAGTTGAAAACTATGCAACGGATTATGATGCGGTTTTTTTTACTAGATAGAGTGATTCAAGAGAAAAGTTTATATGTATAATACATTGCACCCGTGCGAAGCCGGGGAGGGTCGCTAGTATATACTACTATCGAAAGTGTTG